CCCCCTCCCCGCGAGCCCTCCTCCCCGCCCCCCGAGCTGCCAGCCCACCCTGGTCCCCATCTGCCACCCGAGACTCACCTTTCATCGCTGCGATCACAAAATACATCATTTAAACCGCGCTGCGGAGAGCGCAGAGAGAGCCGCTGGTCAGACCCCGGAGCCCCCTCTCGCTGCCGCCGCCCGAGCCACAGCAGCAGCTGCCGCAGCTGCCCGCCCGCCGAGAGCCATCCCGAGCCATAAGAGGCTCCATGTGACCGGCTGACATCACGGCCGCCGCTCTGTTTACACCGCTCCCCTCCGCTTCCTCTGGGCGGGAGCCGGGAGGTGGGAGGAGGGAGCGCCGGGGCCTCGTGCCCCGCCCCGTCCCCGCGGGCAGGTGACAGCCAGCGGCTCTGCCGCGTCCATCCGACCCATTGCCCACCTCCTGCGCCCCCGGGGCCCCCATCCCGGCCACAGCCACCTCCTCCGCTGCCGATCACCTGTGGCCGCCCGGACACTCTCTGCCAGTGTCTGACCACTTTCTCCTCCCGGACTCTGCAGCACACCGGGACACCGCTCTCCTGCAAAGTTCCTGAGTCTGGGATAGTGATAATGACACCGGGTGGTGGGCGGAAAACAGGAGATCGGGCGGGGGGCGGGGGCGGTGATAGTCTCCCCGATCTCCCAGTGCATCGCAACCCAGGCTCCTAAGACTTTCAGGAGGAACCCCGCCCAGTCAGCTCTGAGTGACCCGGGTCAGGAGCATCCAAGGTCCAGGTTCTCCTCTCCGCTCTGCTCACCTACCCCTGGTCCAGGACCACCTACATCTGAAAGAAGACTGGAAAAGGATGCTTATTGCCAAATGAGCTCCATGCCACAGCCACATTGAGCACTCCATTTCCAGGCTCATGGGATCCAGAAGGCTCTCCAAAAATTCAGCTGTAAGTGGAAAAGGGCTCCAGTTTTCCAACCTCAAAGATGAGACATTGTGTTTTAAACGAAGAAAGAACACCAATATCAGCAACAATAAAATCAACTGACTTTAAACTTGCAACTAAGGCTTAATTCCCTCCAAAGTTTGAAACATTTTACTGTCCTTTTTTTTTTTTCCACAGGTGAATTTCTTAAGATGAATTTCACATCTACTTACCCAGAGACTGCATTACTGAAAACACTGGCACAGCATTGAGCATAATAGGAAAAAAAAAGAATTTTATGAAGCCAAGTTTGCTAAACTACCACCTTTCTTTTGAGAATTTTCAATGTCAGGCTTTTGTTTGTTTTGTTCTACATTTCCACTTGGAAATTAAAAAACACTAGATGGCTCTTAGTTGTTGTATTAAACAGGAAGAGGTCTAGCATTTCTTTTTCCATATAATTGAGTTGCTCTTGCCCCTGAGTTGGGCCCGTAATGTAGAACACATGCAGACAGTCAGCCCTGTAGCAAACAAAGATTCAGACTCCTCCTTGAGGCACCCTCATACCCTCCTTTCAAGGAAAAATTAAGTTTTCCAAACATTTACCCAGTACTGTGACTGGGAAGGTCAGCAAAGGTCATTGTCTTTTCATCAAGCTACGGCTTTACAGAAATGTTTGATTTCAGATACATTCATCTCAATACAGTTCTTTTTTCCTTTAGAATTTTTCCAAATACAACCACAAAAATAAGAAAAGACACGAACAGAGCATGAAGCCAGGACCTACCCATGTTAACTCAGCTGTCCAGCCATAACGAAGTGGACAAGAGTTGCAGAGGGATCAACCATACCCACTGTAATGTTTACAATTATGAAATTAAATCACACCATGTTCCCATGATGCAACTCTATCTCCCAGTGAGGCAACGCCCCTCAGTTACACCGACTGTTTCTTGAAATTTGGGTCTGGGTTTCTCTTGTGCTAGCAACTAAAGGAAAGGTATCCTCAGGCTAGCCTGGTGGTAGGTCATTGGTGTAATTTTCCTTCCTTTGTATTGTCAAAGAAGGAAAATAAAATCACCAGAGAAGGTATGCTCACAGCTACATTCTGAGCAATGCAAATGCATCTGAATCTATAACCAAGAATTCTTGATGTTACTTCAAAACAGTATCTTGCTTTAGAAAAGAATGCTTTGAAAACAACCAAATCCATTAGCTCTAGCCTGCCTGCTAGACATTTGACTCCAAGGCAAATAGTCTTACATCACTAGTAATCGGTTATTTTCAGACCATTTCAAATGAAATCATTAATCAGGAAGGATATGCCAGGTGACATGAACTCCCACAATTACAAATGGAACAATCCTTCTTCCTATAGAGATGTCCCCAATAGAAATATAATCTCATCAGACTTATTTGAAACATTTACGTATTTATTCAGCAAAGACATGTCCAGGATAATGTAATGCTGACCTTGCCCTTCAGTAATGTATTGCCCTTGCATCCTACAACTAATGAGCAACAGAATTCAGATATTAAGTCCTAACCTTCCTAGGTGGCTAGATGCTATTTGTAATACATGCCTCTATTAAATGTCTTTATCTTTTAACCTGAGGTGTATTCCTGTTCTTTAGAGTAAACGCTCTTATGGAATTTTGGAAGTAAAAATGAGAGGCTTTTTTTTTTTTTTAAACTAGATCACTAGCAATACAAATTTTCTATAGAATTTTAAGTCTTCAGCTAAACAAATCAACCAACAATGAAAGGACACACTTTTTCCTTCAATAACAAATGATACATTCATTATAAAATTTTACTTGCTGTATCTTAAAACACAATCATATAGAGACACTATTAAAAATACAATAAGTATGCAGGAATAACTGGATTTTAATAAATAATTGCTATAATGTACCCTTTATGGAGAAATTTGTATAAAGCAATATATTCATTCTTTTCATCCTTTGAAGCAAGTGGTTCGAAGAGAAAAAAGAAAAAGAATATTGCTTACAGCAAGATAATTCAACAGGCTGGGAATTCTTTCCTTCAAATGGGAGAATGCTATATATGAACTCTCAAACATTCATGTTGGCTAATCTCAGAAAAAGGCACAAAACTCACTTATAGTCATAGACAATTTACCACAGAGTCCAGATATGGTCACAGACCCATATGGCGTCCCATTGTGTTGGGTTTCACACTGGATCTGACACTTAGTACAGAGTAGAAAGACACTATGATTGCCAGATTGCCCAGAATGCCCACAAACAGCCTGGTGAACTCTACAGGGTCTAGATGGAGAGTCACTACCCATGAGCAGAGCCTGGCCAGCTCACAAATGCAGAGGCTCATGGCTGCACAAGATGCTGAGAATAAGTTGTGGATGAGGGTTCAGGCCCAAATCATTTATACCACCTCTAATAAAGCTCAGGGGATATTGCAGAAGAGGGGGCAGAAGGAACATAAGAGCCAGAAGATAAAAACAACGAAGTTCTGTCCTCTAGACACCACATCACCAATGTAATCACCAACTCACAGCAGTTGCAATTACTTGTACTGGGCCTGGGTAAGACAGGCCCTTTCAGTACTCAGTCATGAATGGGTGAGGAGCTCACTGGCCCCTTACTGTTGAACTATATGGAGTCTGGAAGACAGGGAGCCGCTGTCTTCAGCTGTGTATCATAGGTAGAACCACCAGGCTCCAGAGGTTAATTCCAAATCCAACGTCACACAGACAGCCCTGGTCAAACCCAGAGGGACACAAACAAAAGAAAAACACATGAAAGTGGGAAATAGATTATTGGGGAAAAGGGAGTATGGACAGAGGAGGTAGGGGAGTGGAGAGGGTAGGGGTGAGAACAACCAAATTACATCTATACATGTATGAAACTGCCAAAGAACAAATACAGTAACAACAACAACAAAATGATTCTTAGCTTTATGAAAAAACACCTGCAGTTTTGCCACACAGGGGCCTGGTCTTATACATATATTAGGAGAGACTAGAAAATCTGTGGGTTGAAGAATTTGTCCCAAGTCTCCATGTGGTTCCCAAGACAGGACAATTTCAAAGTTTGTAGATGTACAGGAACAAGAATATTTTTGTTCTCTCTCTCTCTCTCTCTCTCTCTCTCTCTCTCTCTCTCTCAGCAGCTTAATTCAATTTCTTTTAAAAAGGATTTTATATGTAGGTGTGTGTAGGGGTGTGTGTGTGTGTGTGTGTGTGTGTGTGTGTGTGTGTGTGCAGTGTCCATGGAGCCCAGAAGAGGGTGTCAGATTCCTTGGAACTAGAGTTTCAGGCACTTGTAAACTGTCCAATATGGGTCGTAGAAACCAAACTCAAGTCTTCTGTAAGACCAGTATGCACTCTTAACTTTTGAGCCATGTCATCAACCCCCAATTAATTCTTAACTGAACAAGAAAGAGGCCTCTCAAAGATTAATGTGGTCCTACTCACTTGCTTCAGCTGGGTCCTCAGCCACCTGCACTGGGTGCTTTAAGAATCGGACCATTCTGATCCAAACAGAGCCACAGGCTCAGTCTTCCCATAGAGCAAGGAGCAGGCCCAGATAGTTCTAAGCAAAACTACTTGGGAAGCTACAGAGCAGGA